TTTTTTTTTTGCCAAAGTTTTCTGAAGAAAGGGAGCGATTTTGTGGTTTTTATTTTTATGTTGAGATTTCAAAAAGCCTGGTTTTACTGGCATGCAAAGCTTGCAACCTTTTTTAATGTGTAATTAGTCTAAGTTTAGCGCATGAGACTAGGCTTCAATCATTGACTTTATCAGTATGTAAATGTGCAGTTTTATTTGTATATACGGTTTTAAGAGTATACGCTGTCGTTCGATGCTTTTTTGCGTGATATTTTTCATCAGTTATAACCGTTGATTTTCTGAAACATCGTTACTGGGTTTTTGAAGTTTTACCAGACGGAAACAGTTCAGCAACAATTTGTGACGGAGTAGACAATAGCAGTTTTATTCAGCAGATGGATAAATAATCGAGAATTGCAGCCATTGTTTGCGACAGTTGGTTGTTTATTGAATTAGCTAAGGTTTTGAATCAAGTATATGGTCTAACAATGTGTGCCATGTACTTGGTAAAAAAGTTTAGTCAAATTAACGTCTTATACAAAGCATCTTTTATTTTTTAGTGTTTGTATCTCGTCTAAGTACAGCATTCGAATATGCCAATTAATTCAGCTTTCGGTAAGTTGCATTTATGTTATTTGCGACGAACGGATGACTATGTCCGGATGGAGTATTTAGTTTTCTTGCACTTTTAAATGCACTAATATCTATTTGGTAAGTTTCTACATGACGTCTGTTGGTGGCGAGTAACGATTTTTAAATATTCTAGAATAACTATAGAAATAACGAGTAAAATTTGATTGCCCAAATGCGTAGTTATATTTGTTGATTCAGTAGCGGTTTCCTGACCAACTTAGAGCATTGTTCTATCAGATCTACTTGTTGTAGTTTTTGTTAAAATTTTTGCTGTTCTTAGTGTTAAAGATATGTTTATCGAGACCGGGACTGACGTTCGGCAGGCTTTCGAATTTGTCATAGTTCTTGATCAATGCGTATTCTTTTTTCTTCCATCTTTTTTTTTTTCTTTTTATATGTTTGTGTGTCATTTTGAAAGCCCTGGCAAGAAAAGTGTCAAAAAAAGTATTCAAAACGGTGGTTAAACCGTAGTTTTTGATGATTGTCGTCGTATTGCTAATAACGATCTTAGATGTTTTATTTCTGAGTAAAGCTGACAAGGCTGAGTCTTTTTTCATATCAGTTTTTTTTTGTTTCTAAAATCTCATCGTAATGTTGATTGAGTTGTGTTTGTGAGTGTCTGTGTCAATGTCTGTGTATTTGTGCTGTGTTTTTTTTTTTTTTTAGCATTTGTGGAGTGGATAAGAGAATAAAAGAGAAACATCACACAAATAGAATAAAGAAAAAATGGGTTGAAGGATGGCTCTATTGATGGATTGTTTTTTATTTTCATTTTTTTAGCTTTTATTTGTTTTTCTGATTTTATTAATATTATTATGTCCCTTCAAGTGTTTTAAAGTTTGTTTTCTGATAGTGTTATTGGATTATTCAAAAAGAAAAATGAAAGTTTTTTTTTGTTGTTTTTGTTGAGGAATAAAAAAATATTTTTTTTTGAAGGGATTCGCTAGTAAGGGTAATGACAGCATTTGATGGGAACAGTCGTTTTTTTCTTCATTTTTTTCATTTTTTCTTTTTTCTTTTTGCACAAAGAACAATCTGTGTGCATCAAAAGCTGGTGATCATGATTCCCCAGAAGCATTCATGCTGTGTTCTTCTTTAACTTCCTTCCTTCAATCTTTGCATCCATTTTTTTTTTTTTTTTTGCTTCTTTTCATTCTTCTTTTCTTCTTTTCTTTCTTGCTGTTTTTCTTTCGTTGGTTCTTTCCTATTCTTCTTCTTTCTTTTCTTCAGTTGTTTCGTGTGTCTTCTCATTCATCCGTATACGGAATGACTTTTGTGATATGCGTAATTTCGTCAACGCCCTACACTCATTTATTATGTGTTATAGTTTAAGATTGCTTTGCATTTTAAGCTTTCTATTTTGCTTAGAGTTTAACGATCTTTATCCTGCAGAGTACTAAAACAGCAAATCTAACTGTTGAAGCTCCTTCAGTAGGGCGTCCGATTATCGGCGTATTGTTTTGGTGTTGCTGCGCGTCATTTTCAAAGCTTTTGGTATTGTGATACTGTTGCAGTTCAGGAAGCAGCTAGGACTAGTTGTTGTCTATGTTTGTCTTACTTTTTTCTTCTTCGCTTGAAGCATTTTTTGACGGTGTAAATTGTGGCTCTGTTTGTTTAAGATGAAAAAACGGGATTTTCAAGAACTATATTTATTGTATTGTTGAATGCTGTCGTCTGGAGCTGTTTGGAACTCCTAAAATTTCATTGTTTCAGGACCCTGACTTCGGGCTAATTGAACCGAATTCATTCCATCATACTGGCGCAGATAAACTGTTACTATGAAGACGATCCACATCAATCAGAAAGCTGCTGTATTAGCTTTAGGGTCATTATTCATTATCGTACTTGTCATTTTTTACTCAATAACTCCAAATATTGATGATGCAGTACCTGTGGGTCGTAAGATGCTCTTGGCTCGCGACATTAATGCGAGAGCCAATTTTCCTCTGGAGAAACTGCGGTTTAATGAGGTTTCTTCTATGTTTCTTTATGTCTTTTAGTTCGTTTTGACTTACTATTATGTCATACGTAAAAATATTTTAAAGGAATTTTTGTTTCTTTACTGGTTTTATTTGTCATTGTTCTGATTAAACGTTTTGGTTTTTTCGGTTAAAGCGCTGTAAAATTTCTTAGCTTTTTTCACGGGAACTTCGGAACTTTTTGTTCTAAAGGGATGGTAAAAGAAGTAGTCTTGAGAGAAACAGATAAAGAAGAATAGGTTAATGATAATCTTGAAGGCTAACCTGTTTTAAATTCTTCAAGTTTTGGGAAAAAAGCCGACTTAATGGCAAAATTACTCTTTTTTGGCTTTAAGTTGCTAGAAGTAGGATTCAGGTAAGCCTAATTAGGTTAAAAACTGCTTAAATATTATAACGACATTTTAATTTTTTTTTTTGGCTTTTTAGGGAAATATGGATATAAATAATGGTGAAGAAAGACGTGATGAGCAGGAAAACTCGAGAGAAGGTTGGCAGAGAAGTAAAGGCAACGATTTACCGGCAGCAAATCGGGTAAGAGTGGTCGACCAACCAGAAGTCGTAGATGAAGCGTCTGATGGTACGTCGTAATATTGAATTTGTCATAACTGACGATCTCGTAGATCTTTGCTCTTAACAAGTGTTTTTTTATTGGTGCTTATTTCTGTTTCTCAATTAATGCTTTAGATATTATATTCATCAGGTACTGTTGAAAGAAAGTGAGGTGCAGTTTTGACAGAGGAAGTTTTTCAAAAGTTTCTTTTGTTTTGCTGTCGATTACTTTGTTTCTATATCGGAGGCAAAAATTTTTAAATTTAGCTTATCGAAGAGATTTTATTCGAAAAATGGTAGTCTATGGTTGGAATGGTTATAAGCGGTACGCGTGGGGAAAGAATGAGGTTAAACCCATATCGTTAACGTATCACAGCCAAGGAATTTTTGGTGGTCCGTCTTCAACCCTGGGGGCAACGATTGTTGATGGGCTTGACACACTTATTTTAATGAAGCTCGACGATGAGTATAACGAAGTTAGCTCGGTTTTCAGTTTTTTGTGTTTCTTTTAAAGTGATATATGTATTTAGGTGGAACTAGTATTTTAGGGGCGAGAATTTATCAAAAACACCTTTAAAATTAGCGAAACTAGAGGTACCATATCTGTATTTGAGACAGCTATTCGTTTTCTTGGAGGTTTTTTATCAGCTTATGCGTTAACGAACGATACTTTATTCATGTAAGTTACTTCCAGTACTGTGTTTCTGGTTTAAGTTTCTTTTTTCCCGGAAAAGGGCAAATTGGGTTTTGTTGTCACCGGTTTTTTAGCCTTGAAAACCAATTACCTAATAGTTACACTGAATTGAAGGATGTCATTTAAGGGGAAGGTTAATTGAAATACGTGAAAATTCATTCTTGTACTTTTTTTTGGTGAAATTCGTGATTTGCACTGAGTAAACAAGAGATATATGTGGAAGTAGAAGCATATGCTTTTTTTGAGAACTGCAGGGGGCCAAAACTTAGTTTGCCACCGGTTTTAATTTTAAGTTCTTGTAGTAAGGGATGGGCGCTGCAGAAGATCGCAATACAGTTTTAGAACTATTGAGATATTAAGAGAGGTGGTGTCAAGGAACGTCTAACGCATCTTAGATTTATATTACCAAATCAATGAAAAGAAATGTATTTGCTTCTTAAGGGCAAGTATTCTGGAAATTGGTGCGAGGACACAAAAATATTTCAAATATTGCTTACCATTGAAAATTTGAATCTCATTCATAATTTTTCAAGTCTAAGTCGGTTCTTGTTTTCCTGTAAAACTTAGTGCTTGCAAGGGTTTTTTGATTGTAATTTGCAATGGGGACAGAACGGTTAACAGGAGTTAGGTAATTGCTAGGGGAATTTTGACAACAGGGCATGAAGTAACGACAGCGGAAAAGCTGCTTACGGAAGCCTCATAAATGTTTTAAATTGTAGGTTTTAGTCTATGAATTTCTAACGTTTAGCCTCTTAGCTGTACCGAGGGGTTAAGTATGAAGAAGAAATGGTTGTTAGCGTCTAGTTATATTTTACCCTCAAGTTTAGTACTAGTGGCATGTCAACTATAAACTTGTGATAAATTGGTTGTATTGAGCCGAAAAGGCGACTTCGTAATGGTATTTTTTCCGTAATTAATCCATTATACGAAAAGGGTATATAGCAGTGCTGATCAGTTTTTGTTTTCAGTGAAAAGGCAGTAGAAGTGGGAGACACTCTTCTGAAGGCTTTCAAAACGCCTACGGGTTTGCCAACGTCAACTTTAAATCTTGCTACAGGTTAACTGAGCCCCGACCAGCTTTTCTAAAACTTTTAGTGTTTTTTTTTAGGGGGGTAATCGTTTGAATTGAGATTTCCATCTCAGCCTTATATTCTAGTTCTCTCATTATCTAACTTTTCCGGGTATTCTTCAGTAATAACAATTTCTTCCAGGCGTAATTTCTAACTATGGTTGGGCACATGGGGGTTCTTCAATTCTAGCTGAAATCGGCTCTCTCCACCTTGAATTTGTTTATCTCTCTCATATCACGAAGAATCCCATATACGAACAAAAGGTAGAAGATTTGTAAAACTGTTACTGGATAACACAGTATTTCTTAAAGAGGTGTTGGAAGTTTGTCTTTTCATTATCTTTTTAAATTCCTTATTTTTTTTTCATTTTCTCATTCTTCTTCTTTAATTTCTTTTAGATTATGATGTTTAGGTTAAAACTGTCCGTGATTATTTGGATAATATGGAAAAAATTGATGGCCTTTATCCAAATTACATATCATCCTCAACAGGTGAACAGTTTTTTCGCTGGAAAGTTGTTTATGCAGAATATTGTTGTTTTTTGTTTTACGATGTCTTTAAAGGTTGGTAACTCTACATTGGTTTCTAGGACAGTGGACTGGTAAGCATGTTTCACTTGGTGCGATGGGAGATAGTTTCTACGAGTATTTAATTAAATCTTATATACATACTAATGACCACCAAGCTTGGCGCATGTACAACGAGACTATCGAAGCAGTTTTGAAAAAGTTTTTTTATCTATTTTAGTTTTTTTCTCATTTCTTATAATTAATGCTTTTTTAAACTAGCCTCTTTTCTAGGATGTTGCAGAAGTCAAAAGGTGGGCTTTTTTATATTGCTGAATGGCAGAACGGTGCATTAGATCATAAAATGGGGCACCTTGAGTGCTTCTGTGTTGGGATGTTTGCTTTGCAATCAGAAATTGAAACTGATCCAGAAAGGAAAGAACGGTAAAAGGTTTATTCAATAATCTGTTGTGTGCTTAGCACAAGATGCTATTGTTTGAAAAGGACTTTATATAATGCAGTTGTAGTCTCTTTCGGACTTTTTTTATGTTAAATGTGTTTGCAGAATATTACGCTTGGCAGAGGAGCTTGGTAGAACATGCCACGAGTCCTATATTCGGAGTGAGGTCGGGCTTGGACCTGAGATGTTTCATTTTCACGAGGGAAACGAAGCAAAAGCGGAGTAAGCAGTTTCCTGCTGTCAGTTTATGAGCTTTGCTTTTTTCTGTGTTATCATGATCTCTAGTCCGGTCTTGAGCGTAAAAATAATGCATTTTAGAACGTCAGAGTCGGGATACGTTTTACGCCCAGAAGTTATTGAGGGTTGGTTTTACTTGTGGAGGATAACAAAAAATTCTATGTATAAGGAGTGGATTTGGGATGCTGTAAAGGCTATTGAAAAATACTGTAAAAAAGAGGGCGGTTATGCGGGGATTGTGAACGTGTACAACATCAATGAGGTAAGTTCTATTTTTTAAAAAAATTATACGTTTTTTCATCAACTTGGTTTCTAGGACGTGTTACCGCTGGTGATCTTTTTACTGCTAGAGGCTAAAAGTTTTATCTTTATAGTGGAGGATAGTGATTTTCTAGTTGGCGGTTTAGTTGAGAAGAACGTAATGCACACTTCTGTGTAGCCACAGTTTGTTTTTTGATATATCTTTTCTTTGATTGATCAGAGGATTATTCTGCTTTTATAACCGTGCATTGCGCGTTAATTTTTAGAGATAAACGACAAAAAAAGGTGTTTTTCTTGAGTAGAAACAAAGAGTAAAATAAGACGATTGAGCTTGACTTTAGAAACGAGTTCCCTTTTGTCTGTAACTTTTATCGTCAAGTGTAATTCAAGGTTTCTTGTATTACTTAGTTTTCTAGTATTATTTCATTATTACATGTGGTTCCTACGATACTCTTTCAGGGTTGGGATGACGTGCAGCAAAGTTACTTCTTCGCAGAAACGTTGAAGTACGCTTATTTAGCATTTACGGATACTACCGTATTGCCGTTGAATGAATGGGTTTTCAACACTGAAGGACATCCCTTCCCAGTACTTGTTAAACCCGGTAGCATGTAGTAAAATTTTTGGCTTTCTCATTCAGCATAGCTGTGATCAACTTGGATACTGGTCTGTCATACAAGTAAGAAAGATTTTCATACGACTGGGAAAGAAATTAGTTTTTTTAAAAAAGCTAGAATGCTTTGAAGACGAGAGGTGAGCTCAAAATTTTTTTTGTATTTTTAGTACTCTCAGTTTAGCAACAAGATAAAGATGACTGACAGATTGTTCCGAGTATTTACAATTTCTTAGCCTTTGATTATTATTGAAAAATTTTTATTATGGGGCTTGTTAGTCCCGTTTATGTGTTTATAAAGTTTTTTGTGCATGCCGAACTCCTTAGTTTTATAAGAGGTGGCTTTGTTTTGTTCTAATTGGTTGTTGTTGTTTTTGTAAATTTTTTGTGAATTTTATGCTGTTTTATGTGCCTACAATTGTCATTTTTCTTTCCTTGACGAAGTGTTTTTCCCCTTCCGTATGAAAAACATTAAATAAAAGCAAAAAAAATTATTTGGCCGTAAAATTGTTTGTGTTCTTGATCACTTCCTTGTTCAAAAGTTTAATTTGTTTTAATTCGTTGTTGAACAGACAAAAGAAATTTAAAAAAACTTTAGCAGCTGCTTGAAAATAAAGTCTTTTAGCATGGAAGCAAAAATTTAAAATTATGGTCTGCCTCTTGAAGTTGGCGTTAAGGTTTGGCATTAAATGGCTTACTGTTACACAGTTGAATCGATGTACGAAGTAAGTAGGTTTAGATTTGATCATCTTTTACAGCATTTGTTATTAAATGCACATTTTTTCCCATTGTGGGCAAGGGCCTGGGCGGAACTGTTTGAACAGTGTTAGGGTGCTTTGATTGATAGTTTTATATGACACAAAACTGATAGTTTCATGCAGTATAGTGAACAGTGGGTTGGAAAAAATTTTTTTACAGTTGATTTGATGGCGTCGTATATCAAAAAAGAATTCGTTTGCATTTTTTTAAGAAAAAAATTTGGGAGTTGAAAAAGACGAGCATTTTTTTTAAAACACTGGATTTTTTTTTGACGTTGGGAAAGGATCTGACAGTAACAGTATCTGATAGAAACTTTTGCAAGAAAGAGGAATGGAAATTTTTTGTAACTTGTTAACCGGTGCTAACCGTGTGCCGTGGTAATGGGAAGTTGAATTAAGAGGCTGCTGAAACGGCTTCCAAACAGTTCGCTGATAGACACTGCAGCAATTCTGATGGAAATATTTTTTGCAGCAATATGTTATATGATTTTTTCAGCTGTTGGACGTACAGTGATAGTTATCTGGAAGTCAAACTTTTTCATTTGAAAGCTTCGACTTGTGACTCTAATAGTTGAGTGGAAGAAATAATTTGAAACAGAAAAAAAAAAAAAAAGATTTTGACTAAATTACCATAATTTTTGTTTTTATTTGAAGGCTTTCTGAATAATTGTCGAAGTAATAGGGTTTGAACTTTATAAATGTATTGTATACTCTATAATACTTGGTAACATTCTTAGTGCAAAAAAACGCAACAGTGATTGATTTTTGTTCTTTTGAACACAACGAAAAAAATTTCTGATTACCAGATTTGACCATTAATGAAGATTAAAATTTGGTTTTAACTGTCTGCTTGCTAAGTAAGTTTCAGTAATGTGGCTATTGCTGATTATGCAATATAATTGCCAACTGAACACTCAAGAAATAGTTGATGACAGTTGAAAGATTGCACAGAATACTTTTGCAAAACAACACTAACATTCGGTGATAAGAAAAAATTTACAGACGTCAGACGCTTTCAGACATGTAAAGAACACTTCATCGAAAGGAATAATTAATTGATCGGAAGAACCAAATGTATTCGAGCGTTCGGGCTGTTATATTTAGCAATAACTATTGGACGGTTATTACTTTTGGTATTGGAATTGACATATCGGGTAACAGCAGCACAGTTGAGTCTCAATCAGCAGTCAATCAACTTTGTCTATCGGCTTGACTACAAGCATTGAAGTCTTCTCACTCATATTCTTTATACTGCTTTATGCAAGAAAAAAAAACATTTTCTTTTTCCATTTCACTGTAAAAATCATTCATACTTCTGCTTAATTGACTTTTCATTTTCTCCCAATGGTACCGGTTTTCTTTTTTTTTTTTTTTTTTTTTTTTTTTTTTTTT